GACAGAGTGAGACTCCAACTCAAAAAAAAAAAAAAAAATCACCTGAGTTTTTTCTATGTGGGTATGCCATCAATAGATATACAGAGCCAGGTGTGGTGGCTCATGCCTGTATTCCCAGCACTTTGGGAGGTGGAGGCGAAAGAATTATCTGAGCCCAGGCGTTTGAGACCAGCCTGGGCAACATGACGAGACCTCATCCCTAAAATAAAAATTCAGCTGGGCATGGTAGCCTATGACAGCTACTTAGAAGGCTGAAACAGAAGGATAACCTGAGCCCCGCAGGTCGAGACTGCAGTAGCTGTGAGCGTGCCACTGCATGACAAGAGTAAGACTCTGACTCAAAAAAAAAAATACACACACACACAGAGTTAGGCTCATTTGTTTCATTTTGCTTGTTTTAAAAGATAATTTTATTTTCATTTTATAATTGTTTAAAACATTTACATGATTCCAAAGTCAAATCTATAAAACAAAAGATTTCAGAGACATCAAACTTCCATTTTTGTCCTTTCCACTCTAGTTCCTCACTCTTTGTAGGTAACTGTCTTAACAATTAGTTTGAGAATTGTTTTTTCCTTTTTTTTTTTTTGAGTTGAAGTCTCACTCCATCGCCCAGCTGGAGTGTAGTGGCACGCTCATGGCCACCCCGGCATCGACCTTCTGGGCTCCAGTGAGTCTTCTGCCTCAGCCTTCCAAGTAGCCAGAAGTATAGGCACGCGCTACTGCGCCCGGCTAATGGTTTAGACTACTTTTTAAAAAAAATTTATTGTAGAGACAGGTCTCATCAAGTTGCCCTGGCTGGTCTTAAACCCACGGGCTCAAGCAATCCACTTATTTGCGTCAGCCTCCCAAAGTGCTGGGATTACAGGCTGAGCCACCAAGTCTGACCATAAAATAATTTTTAAAAAGAAAATAAGCATACATATTTGTATTAAACTCTCCACCCTTCATATATAAGACATATTATTCATACTCTCTGTTCTTGCTTTTTTTACTTAACTGTGTCATGGGGAGTATCTCATAGCAGTAAACACTTTCATTCCAGATACTATATATTTTTTTAATATACCATAACTTAATTCAATCATTTCCCGCCTGCAGGACATTTCGAGTCTTTTGCTATTAAAATAATATCATCAGTGGTTTGTAAATAAATTAAAGGAAATATTTAAAGTATAAAATTTGAGAAAACACAGTAATAGAATGCCCTTTTAAACTTTGAGGTAAAAATGAAGAATTTGGTTTTTTTATTGAACTTAAATAACTAATTTTCTTTTATTTCATTTTTGAGAAGAGAAACTTATCAAACTGCCTTTATCTCATTGCAAATTTAGATTTACTCCCTTTTTTACTGTGGTAAAAACACATAGCATAAAATTTACCATCTTAACCATCTTAAAGTGTATAGCTCATAATTGTTAAGTAAACTTACATTGGAAACAGATCTCCAGAATATTTGCAGAACTGAAACACTATACCAATTAAACAACTATCTCCCCTACCCCCTCATCCCTGGCAACCACTAGTCTGCTTTTTGTTTTCATGAATTTGAATGCTTTATTTGTATTCCATGAATTCAATTACTTCACATACTTCGTGTAAGTGGAATCATACAGTATTTGTCCCTTTGTGGTGTGCTTATTTCATTTAGTGTAATGTCTTCAAGTTTCCCCCATCTTATAGTATGAGACAGGATTTTCTTTCGTTTTAAGGCTAAATAATATTTCAACACGCACACACACCACATTTTTTTGTTTGTTTATCCATTCACTCATCCATCGAAGGGCATTTGGGTTGCTTCACCTCTTGGCTATTGTGAATAGAACTGCTGTGAACATGGGTGTGTACACAGCTCTTGGGGGCCTGCTTTCTATTATTTTAGATATAATTCCCGCAGGTGGGATTGCTAGATTACATGGTAATTCTGTTTTTAATTTTTTTAGGAACCTCTATTTTGTTTTTCATTGCAGTTGAGCTGTTTTACACCCCCGCCAACAGTGCACGAAAGTTCCTGTTTCTCCACATCCTTGCCAATACTTGTTATTTTCTGTTTCTTGTTTTGTTTTAGTAGTAGCCATCCTGACAGGTGTGAGGTAATAGCTCATTGTGGTTTTCATTTGTCTTTATCTGATGATTAGTGATGTTGAGCATCTTTTCATATGCTTTTTTATGGTTTGTATTCATTTGTGGAGAAGTGTCTATTGTGAAGTCCTTTTCCCATTTTTAAATTGGGTTGCAAATCTAGATTTCTTGTAGTAACGTGATATTTTTGCTGGTAGCCAGTAGAACATTTTTAACATGATCCTAAAGATTTGTGTGATCTAGACTGTGACTGGTAAGAATTTGTATGACCTGAATTTGTTTTATAATTCTTGCAGGGCTATTTAGAAACCAGAAAATATTAAGAGAATATAGAGATTTCTTGGGAAACACTAAGGTAAGGATATCTTTCTAATAGTGTGTTTATGCATTATACAGAAAAATCTTATCAGTTCATGCTGAAGTTTCTAGCATTTCTGTGATCATAATCCAAGGTTTTCTTGAGGGCATTGTAATTTGCTGAATTATAGTCTACTTATTTCGGTCTGATTATCTTGAACTTTATTTTTAAAATTTGGACAAGTTTTCTTTAAAGTCATAACTGTGTTATGGACCTTAAGTATATAAATATAGATGAGGAAGAAGACATGATTTTCTTAGATTTTAGCAAGATTTATATCTTTCGAACACACCCTTAATTTCCTTTTTTCTCCCTTTCTGCTCCTAATTCTGGTTCAGTATTCAGACTGAAAATTCTACTTGTATCCAAGAAGCTCAGCCCTTGGAGATAAAAATTACAGTCAGTTTGAATGTTCTTTCTTTATCATGTGGTTATAAAAAAATCAATGGATACTCAGGATTATTTGATAGTCTGGCTAAACTTCCAGAGTGTGTTAGCTCCTACTCTGAAGTAAGTGTTGTGTACCTTTTTCTTTCTTTCCAAACTTCCTGCAGCCTCACTCTCTATTCTTCAGCTATTGACCTTGCTTCGTATTTCATTGGGGAAACTATGTAATTTGATAAAAATACCTCATCTTTTCATCATCAAATTTACTAACTTACCTACATATGTGCCACAATATTCTGCTTTCCTTCCTACTAGAAGGATATTAATATTCAGACAAGCATAAGGTCCCTCCTGTTATTTTCCCTGAACCCAATCCATCTGGGCTTTCATTCCCACCACATTACTGATCTGGCTCTTTCTGAAGATACCAGCACCTGCAGATGCCAAGCAGTCTGTGTCCAGAGTTGACTTTCCAGTTACATTTGGCTGGGAGCGAGCTCCTCTTGAGAAGTGAGTGCCATATCAGAGGAAAAGGCTACCCATGCACATTGTCTTCTTTCCGGGTGGCATTTGAGACATTGTGAAGTTTAGAAACTGGCAGTGATGACAACTCTTTGCCATCCATTATATTCAAGACCTATTAAGTTCCCTTTCTCCCTTGATCCCTGTGTTTTGGGCATCCCGGAGCTGCCCTGGAGGTGTGAACTGTCTTCAGTGGCAGAGCCCTTGTTTGTCTGGTGAGCCAACATTTTCACTCCTGTGCTGCAGGGGCTGCTGCCCCTACCTCTTGCTGTGGCATGACTTAGGCTGGTGAGACCAGCCCCTAGGAAGGCTGACCCCTAGACTTTACGTCTGTTTCACATGGAGAGGCATCCTCATCAGGTTTTTTAGTAGTAGCTGTTGACTTCTGAACTCTACCACCAGAGGCCTTTTGAAGACTAATACTCCTCAGCTTCTGAACATTCCAGGTTTTGAATAGAATGTTTTTCTACTACAATCTTTTTTTTTTTGTTTTGGTGTAATAGACTAAAACTAGTATTTCACTTTTCTTCACTGTTCCCCTATTCCTTTTAACAAAACTTGCTGTCCCACTGAAGATGACTGCTTTCCTTCTCTAAAACATAGGCTAATCCTGCATACTGAAATTAAATGCCTTCTTCTTTTTTTTTAAATTTCTGTCCCAGAAATTTTAAATTCCTGTCTCTTGGGAAATTCATTAGTGAAGTATTTGAAGGCACAATGTTCTGGGTTTACTAAAAGCATTCTCATCAGAGAAAAAGCTAAACCTCTGATATTTCTCATTGTTCTTGCAATACATTTCCTCTTTATTGTGTTTCTGTCTTCTTGTACCTTCCTTTGTATTTCTGACTTTGTTAATTTCTTGGCATGGTTCTTCAGAAAACTGGAAGTACCTTTATCTTCACTAATTAATATATTTAATTATACAGTAATAGCCATCATCTTGAAATGCACCTATAATGCTTTAAGTAATTTATGCTGCTCTTCTTGTTCGTTCTCTTTGAAATCTATCTACAAATTCTCTGTTCTTGTCTCAATATAAAAAAACTTGTTTATTGTAATAATTGTCAAATATATGTAAAAATAGAAAAAATAGATATTAGCTATCCAGTTTCAGTGATTTTCAACCTTTCGCAATCCTGTTCTTTAAAAGGGGGCAGTTCTCCCGTTGCTTCTATTATAGGATTTATGAGTGACTTTTACAGATGCTTCCTAAGAGTGTTGTGATCCTGCTCATCGGGATCTCTTGTTTTTCCAGATTATGGTTCTGTTGCTGTTAGAGTTGTTAGAGGCCTTGTTATTGTTTCTAGTTACAACCAACACGTCTTCCCCTTTGCTACAACCTTCTTCATAGAGTGGTCTGAGCCTAATGAATCTCTTTTTCCTTATTTCTTGTGTAATTTCCTCTCTTAGTCCTGAAGACGGTTCAGCACAGTATTGGGGGCATCTGGTTTCACACTGTTTTTCAAGGTCTGTCCCAACACTTTAAAGCTAGATGCTCACTCTTTTGCTCTGTAGTTCATATGGAACTTAGGAGATGTTCTTTAAAATCCTGGCCTGAAATCCAGCTAACTGAAAAACACTTAAAAAGTGCAAAAAAACCATTGTGCTTTTTCTAAGGCCTGAAATGGAATCCTGCATCAGCTTTCTTTGCATCTCAGGCCAAGGTGCACCTGTAGAGTTCAAGTTTATTTAATTTGTTTGTTTGTTTGTTTATTTTTTGAGTTGGAGTCTAACTCTGTCACCCAGGCTGGAGGGCAGTGGCAAGCTCCCGGCCACCGCAGCCTTGATCTGCTGGGCTTGGACAATCCTTCTGCCTCAGCCTTCCAACCAGGTGGAACTACAGACACGTGCCATCATACCCAGCTAATTTTTTTTATTATTTATTGTAGACATGAGGTCTCATCAAGTTGCTCAGGCTGGTCTTGAACCTGCAGGCTCAGGCAGTCCTCTCACCTCAGCCTCCCAAAATGCTGGGATTATAGATGTGAGCCACTGCACCCAGCCTAGAATTCAAGTTTAAATCGTAGTGGCTTGGTCTACAACACTTACGCCTTACGGAGGTCTATTACTTAAGACCATGGTGGGCTACCTACCAGGGGACACAGTTGACATAAGCTATGGTAAGTTACCAGGGACAAAGGCTTACATAGATGACCCCACCAAAAACCACCTTATTGTACTTAGTAAATTAACAGCCAATTCTCACCCTTTGCCTAGGTAGAGGGCCATGGAAGAAGAGAACGGAGCAAGTGCCAAATACTAAAACAAAGGAGGGAACTGAGTACGCCCAGCATTTTCCCAGACATGCCAGTTTACCTACCTCACTAGATTGAGTCAGCCTCCAGGGGGCCACTAGGAGGAGGGGAGGGCTTTGTGCACTAGGCCAACTGTAGGGATGCCGAGGGGGTGGTGTGGGAGTCCCTCTTCCTGGAGATGAGAGAACTATGGAAGAAGTATGCAAGTGTCTGCTGCCAGTAGCAAGTATTGTCTTTCTTTGGGACACCTTGTTCTCTGGCAGCCCAGGATGGCCTATTTTCTGGTTTTTTGTGGGGTTTTTTGTGCTTTAATTTTTCTTCTTCCTCTGCCTCCTTTGCAAAGGACTCTGCTTTTTAAAAAATAGAACCTCCAAGTGTTAGATATTCATTATGGGCCCTTTTTAACCTTAAATTTGTTAGCAAACTCCATTGGCATTTTCTCTAAAATAGATTCCTAGTGTGACTACTTCTCACTATGTTCTTTGTTGAAGTCTTCGTCTAAACTATTATTGATTCTTATCTGGAATGCCCTACTAATTCATCTCTCACCTTTTGTTTTTGCTTTTTTCTCTACATTATAAACTGTATCTTTTATATATATATATTTTTTAGATCTTTTGTAGAGATGGGGTGTCACTATGTTGCCCAGGCTGGTTTTGAACTTCTGGGTTTAAGCAATCCTCCCACCTTGGCCTTCCAAAAGAGCTGGGATTATAGATTTGAGTTACCATACCCAACCTTTAAACTTTATCTTTTCAAAATATAAACCAGACTATGTCAAGTCTTTGCTTAAAATCATCCAGTATCTTCTTTTGCCTTTAAAATACAGCTCTGTAGTCCACAAAATCCTGTGGCATGGGTCTCCTGTCTTTGGCCCCAGTTCCTTCCATTTTCCTTGCTCTCTGTGCTTCAGCCACATAGGACTTACTTTTGTCGTTTGTATTTCCCAAGCTTATTTCTGTCCCAGAGTCTTTGAACTTCCTGCGTATTCTGCTTGAAACATTTTTCTTCCAGGTCTTTCCATGATTGTCTCCTTTTCATCATTTGACTCCCTGACTACTCTGGCTAAAACAACCCTTCCTACCATGAACCCCCCACCGCCACCTTGCACTATCTCTTGGTGCTCTCTGTTATTTTCTTTATTATATTCATTATTGCCTGATGTTATACATTTGTTAACAGACTCGGTCTCTGCCTTCCTATAGCAGGCTGTGAGCTCTGTGAAGGCAGGGACTCTATCTTGTCAACTGTCATGGCCCAGTGTCTGGAGCTTTGCCAGTCATACAGCAGTTGCCTCATAAGTGTTTCCCGAATGAATGATTTGAGCTAGAGTACATAAAGCACTCCACTAGAAGTATAAAGAGAGTAACACATTTGTAGCAGAATGAGCATTTATACCTGTGTGGGTGATTTGAGGAAGGCGTCATATAGAGAGATGACACTTGGCCAGTCATGGAAGAGGATGGATATCACTGGGACAGATTGCAGTTATACACCACAGCATTCCCAGAAAAGGAATGGTTGTGAAAAACATAGTGTCTATTCAAGGAACAGCCAAAGACAATTTAGCTCAAGAAAAATAATTTCCTGGATAATATTTCTCTACTTGTTTTGTTCTTTTTTTTTGGTCTGTTTTGGACATAAACATTATTTTCACTTAAAGTCTGTGATCCTAAAAGAGCAGTCAGGAGTTAAAATAAGGCAGCAAACTTGTTAAACGTTAAGAAGTTGCTCAAGAAATGGAAATTTTTTTTTTGGGAGTAGGAGTCTCACTCTGTTGCCCAGGCTGGTGTACAGTGGCAGGCTCGCAGCCACCGCTTCCTTGGCCCATTGAGCTCAGGTGATCCTTCCGCCTCAGCCTTCCAAATAGCTGGAACTACAGGTACATGCCACCATGCACGGCTAATTTTTTGATTATTTATACATACGAGGTCTTGTCAAGTTGGCCAGGCTGGTCTCAAACTCCTGGACTCAGGAAAACCTCTCTCCTCTGTTTCCCAAAGTGCTGGGATTTCAGGTGTGTGCCACCGCGCCCAGCAGAAATGGAAAAATTTTAAAGTATATGAATTTCAGTTCAATACATTATCACTTTAATTTTAGTTTTTACATAGCCAAATCAGATCCTATCTGGAAGTAGGTAGGACTTGAATTACAAGGAGTCAGAATACACAAGACTCTGGGAAAGGGCCCAGATATGCTTACAGTTTCTAAAATCTTCCACTTTCTAAAGAAGAAATTCTGGAGAAAAATAATTAAATAAGTAAAAATAAGTTGTTTGGAAATTTTGATAGAGGAGAAATTTTTCTGGTGTGTCAAAGCCATCAGTGATAGTGCTTCTCTGGGAAATTTTGGAGGTTTTAAAAAAAGTTTTTATGTTTTTACAGCCACGCTCCAGACCAGCTTCAGTGTTCTTTAAGGGACCAGGAAAAGTGGTGATGGTTGCCATTTGCATGTAAGTACTGAAAAAGAAACCTTTTAAAATAGAAGTATGTTGTTTTAAATGTGTATATCCTTGAATATATAAATGTATTACTTGGTGGCTAGCTGCACACCAGTTTGAGGTTTGAGGCTTATGTTGTCTTAGAGGAAGTTGAATAAGTCTTTATTATTGTCAGTAAGTGGTGGGAGAAGAACTTGAGTTCATGTAGACGCTCAAACATATGTCTGTATGTTTTTGATGTAGTTAAGATCTAAGAATCTACCTAGAAATCCTCTCATTTTTATTGCAGTTGATAGAAGTCTCTTCTTAAAAAGCTAGATTGGCCAAGATTATTTTTAGAGTAACTAAACCAAACTGGCTACAGCAGCTGAAGACTGTCTTTATGCTTGTTAGTGTTCTCCCATTTACCTTGAAAGAACATAATTGTTTTTGCCTCTTTCTTTTTTCCTTTGTCTTCTTAATTCCTATTGTTTTGCTTATCTTTTATCCATTTTGCTGATTAATCTAGTTTAGGATGTATGAAAGCATTAATTCTATAATTCATTAGTTCTTTTATTTCTTGAAATAAATATATGTAATATGTGTCAGATATGGTGACAGGGTCTGGAAGTATGAAGATACAGTACATAATTCTCTAAGGATTAGAGGAGACACCAAACTAAAGGCATTTATAATATTACAGACAAGGGTGATGATGTGATCATTAGAATAGCAGTGGTACAGGTAGACATAGAAGAGTTCAAGAAATTCCTGGAAGGTACAGTCAGAGGTAATGCCCAGGTTTCTAGCATGGACAGTTGGATAGATATTGCGATTCACTGAGAGGAGCTTTGGAAGGAGGGGCAGGGTGGGAGCAGAGAAAATGATGAGTTCATTTTTGAACTTAAAGTGTGTATAGGGCACCCAGGTAGAGAGGGCCAACAAGATTAGTTCTTTTCACCCATAAAGCAGGGATAGCAGTTGTAGCTTTTCTCATTGGAGGAATGCATGTAATGTATATAAACTACCAGCATAGTACCTGGTACAAGATATGTACTTGATAAGTATTAGTGTTAGTATATGTTGATCTGAAGCTTAGGAGGGAGATCTGGGCTTAGAGACTTAGAGGTAAGCTTTGTTAGTAGTAGATGATCATCCCAGAAGCCACAGAAGTCACTCATATCACTTGGGGAATGTGTTTATGGTGTGAGGAAGAAGCCTCAGGAGAAGTCCCTGAAGAATGCTGACATGAAGATATGTGTGCAGGAAGAAGAGGCTGTAGAGGAGGCTGAGGGAGAGGAAGGAGCAAAGCAAGAAGAGAGCCGGGAGTATTTAAGATAAGGTGAAAAATAATAAAATGATAAGGAGTCAAGAGAGCAAGACGATGTTTTTTGTTTTTGGGTTTTTTTGAGTTGGAGTGTCACTGTATTGCCCAGGCTGGAGTGCAGTGGCACGCTCACGGCCACTGTCACCTCAGCCTGCTGGGCTCAGGCGATCCTTCCACCTTAGTCTTCCACGTAGTTGGAACTACAGGTGTGTGCTACCATGCCTGGCTTATTTTCTTATTTATTGTGGAGACGTGGTCTCACCAGGTTGACCAAGCTAGTTTCAAGCCCCTGAGGTGAGAGGACTGCCTCAGCCTCCCAAAGTGCTGGGATTCTAGGCTTGAGCCACTACGCTGAACCCAAGATGATATTTTAAGAAAGAGTGGCAAATGCTTCCAGGAGGCTAAAAGAAATGTTAACATGTTTCCAGGAATTTAGTAGTAAGAAATGGATAGGTGGAATTAATAAGAATAATCTTACAAGGTATTGGAAACAGAAGCCATTGTTTAATGAACTGAAGACAGTACAAAGTGAAAACTGAGATAGCAGAATAGATGATGACTTTTTTCAAGAAATTATCTGAGGTGGAGGAGAAGGGAAAGGGTGGCTAGAAGGGGATGTCCTGTTTTCTCATTTATAAAATGGGGACATTACTATCTGCATAACAATTGTAATATAGCACAGCACGTCACTAGTATAGCATCTGCACTAAATCATGTTAGTCATCACTGCTGGAACCTGAGCAGCTGCCTTCCTCAGAGCTGGCCGTGTTTATTTTAGCATCTGTGGTCTTCTTGTGTGACCCAGAGACTGCTTGTTCTAGTTTTGTCCTCACCTCTGGCATCTGCTTGCTCAAGTAGACAGACCCTCCCTAAGTTTTGCCTTGGACACTGGCTGACTGGACAATATCAAGAGCAGATCTATTTTTACCTACCTACCATACAGAATTATCTTTTTAACTTCATCTTGTCCAAATATAGAACACCCTCTTTTCTCATCAGTTTTCAAAATGCATCTAAGTAATTTGCTGACATACAACATGCCTCTTAATGGTACCATCATCTGTATTTTTCAAATGTGTACTATTGTTACCTAAACAGTAATAAGCTTTTTAAAGCTAGGGAGTCTTTTGATTTTACTTTTAACAGAATCTAGGCTAGAGATATATACAGTTGATTAAAGAGGCTTTTGGTGGAAATTTTTATTCAAACCTATGCTAAGTTGTTTTCTCCTTCTTTCCTAGCAATGGATTAAATTGCTTCTTTAAATTTCTTGCCTGGATTTATACGGGTTCGGCAAGTATGTTCTCAGAAGCTATACACTCATTATCTGATACTTGTAATCAGGTGAGATAAAGCTTTATCTAAAATTAATTTTAGTTGATCTGTTTAAAAACTGAATGATTCTTGTAGTTGGCTTGTGGAAGAAATTGAAAGGTTTTTTTTTTACTTTTCAGCAATGAATTGCATAAAAATATAGTCACAGTATTTTTAAGAGCCTCCAACAATGGAATGTGAAGAATAAGAGTATCAGTTACTAAGTGTTTGGATAGAGGCTTTTACAGAAGAGATTCTTAAATGAGTAGAAATTTGATCTCTGAATGTGAGTCCGTAATGACTATAAGAGCCAATGAATTTAAGTTTTTTGAATAAGGATATAAAATAGTCACATGTAATTGATTAAAACTCTTTCCCATTGGGCTAGTATTTTGAGTTATTTTCCTGGAGTCTGCAAATAAAGAAACATTTTTATAAAATTAAAATACATTTTAAATCCCCTTTGGCCCAAATTATGAATATTAGAAATCCAGACCTTTTTAAAGAATACAATACAAACTTATACTTTTGTATCATTTTACATTTTAGAGAGTGTGGTGTATTAAGAGGATGCCTGTATTATTTTTATTCCCATTATGTAACAGCAAGGTTGGGCAAGCTTACAGTCAAAGAAAGACACAGGTACAATAAGAGTATTTAAGACAAGGTTAACAATAATAATAAAATGATAAAGAGCAAGGAGAACAATATTAATTAAAAATTAAACCCAAGAACTTGTGTAATTCATTGTCAAATGGATTAAAACCCTCTATAAAAGTAATAAAAGAACTGGGCGCAGTGGCTCATGCCTATAATCTCAGCACTTTGAGAGGCCAAAGCAGGCAGATTGCTTGAGCCCAGGAGTTTGAGACCAGCCTGAGCAAAATAACAAGACCGTATCTCTACAAAAAATAAAATTAACTCGGCATGGTGGCACACACCAGAAGTCCCACCTACTTGGGATGCTGAGGTGGAAGGATCACCTGAGCCCAGGAGATTGAGGCTGCCATGAGCCATGATTGTCATATTCGTGCCATTGTACTCCAGCCTGGGAGACAGAGTGACACCTCTGACTCAAAAAATAAAAAAAAAAAGGATATGAGTATGAGTTTGGAGCTGTAAGCTGAGTAATTCTTAGCGCTCACACAGGGCTGAGATACATTCAAGTTCTGACAAGCTGAGCTAGGAGAGTCCTCATTGATTACTGAGGCCAACAGAAGGCTCACCTTAGTAGTGGGGCTAATTATTCTTAGTGTAAGACTGTTCCAGATCCCTCCCTAACAAACCTCTCTAAAAACTCTAAAGGATCAAGCTGTTCTGCAAGTAGTTTAGTTACTTGCTAGAACAAAGCTTCTCATGCTTTGAGGAAGAAAACACAGTCCAAACACTTGATGTTGATGTAAGTGTTTAGCAATAAAAAAGACTAATAGACAGTCTACGAAGCAGGAATATTTAAGTTATAACCAGGAGAAAAATCAGTCAATAGCAGACTCAATTGACAGATAATAGAATTAGCAAACAAGGGTATTAAACAGCTGTTTCAGCTATGTTTGTGTATTGAAAGGAAAGCATGAGTATATGAGAAGAGAAATAAAAAATATGAAAAAGAAACTAAATGGAGCTTTTAGAGCTGGAAAAAGATATCTGATATGAAAAACCCACCTAACAGCAGATTAGACACTGCAGAAAAAACAATCAGTGGACCTGAGTATGTGACAGTAGGAAACACTAACATAAAGAGAGAAACAAGACTGAAAAAAAATGAAAGGAGCCTATGGGACAGTATCAGAAAATTCCATTAAACATTTAGGAAAGAAGTAATGCTAATAGTACATAGACTTTCAGAAATACAGAAGAAAATGCTTTTCACCTGCTCTAATAGGCCAGCATAACCCTGATACCAAAATTTTACAAAGTCATTACAAGAGAAAAAAAGAATATAGACTAGTATTTCTCATGAACACAGATGTAAAAATTCTTAAAATATAAATCGTATCTAGCAATATATAAAAATGATATTACACCATAATTAAATGAGTATTATTTCAGCAATGTAAGGTTGGTTTAACGATTGAAAATCAGTAAATATAGAAAGTCAGTGCCTAGAAATCAGTTGCATCTCTATTATCAGCAAATAAATGGAGAATTAAATTTTAATGAACTTCACCATTTACTCTAATGTCACAGAATATTAAATACTTAGGAATAAATCTGACAAAAGATGTGCACAACCTTTACACTGAAAACAAAATGTTGCTGGGAGAAATTAAAGAAGTCCTCAAGAAATGAAGAGATATACCATATTCATGGATTGGATGCCATAGTGTTAATCTGTCAAATATCCTAAATTGATCTATAGATTTAATGCAATCCCAATCTTAATACCAGCAGACTTTTCTGTACAAATTGAAAAACTGAATAAATTCTAAAATTTATTATATAAATGCAAAAAACCTAGAATATTCAAAGCAATCTTGGGAAAAAAAAGAAAATTGGAGGACTTCAAGACTTCTTATAATGCTACAGTAATTAGGACAGTGAAGTGAAGTATTGGTGTAAGGATTGACAGGTCGGTGGATAGGCTAGAGGATTCAACAGCCACATTTACATGGCCAGATGACTTTTGACAAAGGTGCCAAAGCAATTCAGTGAAGAGAGGAAATTCTTTTTCAAACAAATAGTACTGGAAAAATCAGATCCATATGGGGAAAAAAAGGACATTGATTCTTTATACCATACACAAATTTGAGATGTATCATAACCCAAACGTGAAGGCTAAAACTAAGATTCTAGATGGAAACCTAGGAGAATGTCTTTTAGACCCATGGGCAGGCAAAGATTTCATAAACATGACATAGAAACAATATCATAAAGGAAAAAGATTTACAAATTAAATTTCATAAAAATTTAAAACTTTTGCATAATAGAAACCACCCTTAAGGAAATAAATAAGCAGCCCATAGATTGGGAGAAAATACAAAGCATATCTGACCAGGGACTAGTATTCAAGATAAAGAATTTCTGCAACACAATAATAAAAAGATAGCCTAATTTTTTCTCCCAAGGCTAAAAATTTGAACAGGTACTTCACAAAGATGCATGAATGAAAGTAAATTAAAAGGAACAGAATTCTCTTAAACCTCTACACATGCCAGTGGATACATGCAAAAATGCTAACACCATTAGTCATCAGGAAAATTTTTTATGAAAAGCACAGCAAGACTCTTCTGCACATCCTCTATAATATAGGCTAAAATTTAAAAGTTTGCAGTCAAATGTTGATGAAGATGCGAAGCAAGTGTAACCACTCTTGAAAACATTTGGCAGTCTCCTGTAAACATATGCCTATCCTGTGACCCAGCAGCTCTACCCCTAAGTATTTATCCAAGAGAAATGGAACTGAGTGTCTCCAAAATATTTTATAAGAATGTTTATAGCCGGGCTCGGTGGCTCAGCCTGTAATCCTGCACCTTTGGGAGGCTGAGGTGAGTGGATTGCCTGAGCCCGCGGGTTCGAGACCCGTCTGGGCAATTTGGTGAGACCTCATCTCTACAATAAATCAAAAAATTAGCCGGGCATGATAGCGCGCGCCTGTAGTTCCAGCTACTCGGAAGGCTGAGGCAGAAGGATTGCCAGAGCCCAGCAGATCGAGGCTGCAGTGGCTGGGAGTGTGCCACTGCCCTCCAGCCTGGGCGACAGAGTGAGACTCCAACTCAAAAAAAAAAAATGTTTATAGCAGCTTCACTTAATGACCAAAAAAACCCCTGGAATATCCAAAAATCCATCAACAGTAGAGTCGATAATCAAATTGTGGTGCATTCATACAATGGGATATATCTGTCAGTAAAAAGGAATGAACTACTTTACTGGCTGGTAACATATATGCATCTCCACCAAAATACTGAAAAAAAGGTGGACATAAAACTGTCTTATGATAACTTTTAATCTTTGGTTTAAAACGATTAGAAAAATGGTTGCTTCTTATATAGGGGAGGATTGGCTGAAAAGGGGCTAGGTGGAACTTTTTGGGGTGATGGAAATATTCTGTATCTTGATAGGAATATATGTTACAAAGGCATGTGTATTTGTTAACACTCAGAACTGTACGTTTAGGATTTGTGCATTTTACCTCAAAAATAAAATTTATCATATGTGGAAATGTGACTACTGAGTAGGTATTTGATAATATTAAGGAATTCATATTAATTTTTAAAAATCTGATGATAGTCTTATGGCTGTAATTTCTAAAAAAAATCTAGTCTTTTTTAGAAATTTGTCCAAAATATTTGAAGATGAAATGGTATGATGGTTGGAATTTACTTCAGAGTATTCATGAGGGAGTAGATATGGTTTAAATAAAACAGATTTGATCATATATTTATAATTGCTAGAGTTTAGTGATAGATGATTTGAGTTTATTAAAATGCTCTGTCAAGTATTTTGGGTTATTCATCTATCTGCATGTTAGAAAATTTTCATAAAACAAAGTGCAAAAAGACATTATGTCGATTGTTATATATTTAAGCACATACGCTCTCCCTGAAATCCAACACAAATATATTCACAAAAGCAACATTAAAAACTGTATAGAGATACATATATAAAAGACAGTATCAGCTGGGCTCGGTGGCTCAGCCTGTAATTCCGCACCTTTGGGAGGCTGAGGTGAGTGGATTGCCTGAGTCCGCGGGTTCGAGACCCGCCTGGGCAACTTGGCGAGACCTCATCTCTACAGTAAATCAAAAAATTATTAGCCGGGCGTGGTAGTGCACTAGCGCCTGTAGTTCCAGCTATTTGGAAGGCTGAGGTGGAAGGATCGCCGGAGCCCAGCAGGTCGAGGCTGCAGTGGCCAGGAGCAGCCACTGCACTCCAGTCTGGGCAACAGAGTGAGACTCCAACTGAAAAAAAAAAAAAAGACAGTATCCCCTCTCCTATACTGTTTGAATCTTTTTATAATGAGCATGTATTCATCTTGGAACTGGAGAAACAAATGAATTTTTGTAAAAGATTGAACAACAAAACAAGATGTAAATAAAAACTTGAGTCCATGTGATATCAAGTTAGAACTCTTGAATAAAGAGTATGCCTTAATTAGAGTTTTCAAAAACACTTTGATAAAAAAAGATTTCAACTGGACCTTACTGAATAGGTAGAAATTGTATTTCTCATGTCTTTTGAAAACTGTTTCTTTTGACACCTGTAATATTTAAAAATTTTAATTCATTATAATGTTTTTATGACATAATACTTTTTTCTTGACTTCTTGAGATGAAGCCTTTAATTAGAGGTCTAGTGATAATTAGTTTGACAATTTCTGTTGCAGTTCATTTTGGAAAACTTTTCTGCTAAGCATAGCATTTAGTATTAGGTCACATGAATTTATTGAGGACCTGAGTTTGCAAGTGTTTAGAAGAAGACGCTGTTCTTCCTCTGTCTTTTGTAAGCAGGTTATATGCACATAAAACAGCTAGAAAGATCTTCCAAAGTGCCATTTATGCAGGTACTTGATAGTGTGGTACTGAAGGAACACTAGAAAAGGGAAGAGTGTATGAGGAGTAAAGGCAGTGATGCCGCATCGCAGCCATATATGCAAACACTATACTGCAAACCAGACGGATACTCTGCAGTTTGTATATGCATTACTGACAGATATGTGGTATACAGTGTGCTGTAAATGTGCAGGAAAAGGTCTGGAAGGACACACAGCAAACACAGCAGTGATTCTACCCACTTCTGAGGAAGAGCAGGGTTATGGATATCTGTGATGCATGAGTTTTATAAGAACTAATAAATATGGTCTGTATTCGATTTATAAGATAGCTGGTGATATCCTACACTTCACTGCATAGCCATCCTGAATATTTAAAGATTTTTAAAATAATTAAGTGTTTATTGAATATATTTAAAGAATATAAACACATACATATGTATATATCTAAACATAATGTGATTAAATAATGGCCAGTTTACTTTTTTTTTTTTATTTTTATTTTTTGAGTCAGAGTCTCACTCTGTCACCCATGCTGGAGTTCAGGACACACTCATGGCCACTGCCACTGCAGTCTCAACCTGCTGGACTCAGACGATCCTTCCACCTCAGCCTTCCAAGTAACTGGAACTACAGGTGCATGCCACCATGCCTGCCTACTTTTTAAATTTATTATAGTGATGAGGTCTCGCCAAGTTGCCCAGGCTGGTCTTGAACCCCTGGGCTCAGACAATCCTCTCGCCTCAGCTGCCCAAAGTGCTGGGATTACAGGCTTGAACCACCGCGCCCAGCCTATTTCACTTTTAATGTAGAGGTTTAAGAGAATTCTGTTCCTTTTAATTTACTCTCATCCTCAGTTTAATTCACTGATAAGGCATCGTCTCTGTTTTAGGTAGTTTGCCACCTTTCCCCTTGAAATCCAGTAGAAAAACTTGTAATATTCTGCTAATTCAGGGTAGGGTTTCAGCTATTAAAATCTAAAAACCACCCAGGTTCCGTGGCTCAGCCTGTAATCCCAGCACTTTGGGAGGCTGAGGTGAGTGAATTGCCTGAGCCCATGGGTTCAAGACTCACCCGGGGAATTTGACCAGACCTCGTCTCTACAATAAATCAAAAATTAGCCAGGTGTGGTAGCATGTGCCTGTAATTCCAGCTACTTGGAAGGCTGAGGAGGAAGGATCGCCAGAGCCCAGCAGATGGAGGCTGTGGTGGCTGGGGGGCATGCCACTGCATTCCATTCTGAGTGACAGAGTGAGACTCCAACTCAAAAAGAAAAATAAATAAAACCTGAAAACCAAGCATATATTTGTATTAGCTATTTTAAAGGTGGCTCAATTTCTATAATTTATTAGGGGAAAAAAGTTTCTATTAAATGTCACCTACAAGAAGCCTCATCTATGAAGAATTAGATTATCTAGAAACCTTACTTACCTGATTATTTGATACCATGCTAAAAAAATAAAATAAAAAAATAAAAATAAAAAGGAAAAGCCCCATAGGGAATTCACTGAGGTTTTGTATTTTTATTCAGTAGTTCTATTAATGTAGTCTTATGACATGATTTCCAAGTTCACATCAGATTGGAATGGAAAGGACCTATTCGGAACACGTGTACTAATATTGAGAGACTCCAGTGGATAGCTCTTTTACAAAGGGTAAAACTTTAAAAACTAAATAAGTAGAAATGAAACATAGAAAGGAAGAGAAGATGAAGGTACATAGTTACGTTACTAACCACCCTAGCCCTGCTACTCTCCTCAGAAGTATAAACACAGAAAAATGTGTGTATTTTCTGACCTTTTCCTGTGCTTTACGTTCTATGTCATTTACAAAACTACAAACTGAGCAGGGCATGCTGGCGTACAACTGTTATCCCAGCATGTTGGGAGGCCCAAGGCAGGGGGATTGCTTGAGCCTGGGAGTTTGAGACCAGCCTAGGCAACATAGCAAGACTTCATCTCAACAAAAAATTAAAACATTAGCCAGGTGTGGCTAATTAGCCAGATGTACCTGTAGTCCCAGCTACTCAGCTACTTGGAAGGCTGTGGCAGAAGGATCTCCTGAGCCCAGGAGGTCAGGGCTGAAGTGTGCCGTGATGGTGCCACTGCATTCCACCCTGGGTGACAGAGACCTCAACTCAAAAAATAAAAAAACTCCAAAACATTAGTTTTTCTGTACTGTGCATACTGTTTCTAACTGGCTTTTTTCTCCCCTTCAACTTAATGATTTGTCTAGAAGCTTCATGCACGTCAGTACAGAAAGCTTTACCCCAGTCCTGTTCTTTTAAGCTGTTGTGGAAGTAGTTTATGGTTGATCATATATTTTGCTATTAGGGATTGATGGATTTTTAGGTTGCCTTCATATTTTCCATGTTTATAAACATGATGTTTTGAATCCCTTTTGATTCATGTTTATTTTTCTAAGGTATGTACTGGAAACCAGAATTGTTGGGCCATGGATATGCACATGTCCAGTGTTTGTCCTTGTCAGCTCGCATCCTTGAGATTGGTTTTACCATATTATACCCTCCGTCTTGCTAATGATTATTTATCTGTTTTTCTTCTTCTCCTTAGGGTTTACTAGCTTTGGGCATCAGTAAGTCTGTTCAAACACCAGATCCTTCTCATCCGTAAGGACATTGCCTTTATTTTGTTTTTGTTTGTTTCGGTGACATGCCATTGAAATAAAAACAACTAAATTTCAGAAGTCTGCAATTTAGATACCTGCAGTTTGTTAAAGATTTGGTAATTTCTTCTACCGTAGTATAATTCAAGGTATAATTTAAAGATGGAGTGTAAATTATTTTTATGCTTTATATCTAGCAAGGAGATCTTGTTTTCTTATACTTGATAATAACAAGGCACATATTTTGATTTTAGAGGTCTGTGTTGTTTTTTTTATCCAAAGAAAATCTTTAGACTCCTAGGCTGCTCAATCTAAAATTTTGGTGGTAACTTCTATTCAGTATACACTAATTTTAATCCTCCTGTTGTGATTAGGAAATAATATTTTATGGATATTTTAGAATTATTGATTTATAAAATGAGCATACTTTTCGGAATATATTATGTTAAGTCATACCCATTATTTGATACAGAGATTTTTTTTCTGTTGCTTCTAACATAGTCATTTTTTTTTTTTTTTTTTTTGAGTTGGAGTCTCACTCTGTCGCCCTGATTGGAGTGCAGTGGCCGCTCCCGGCCACCTCAGCCTCGACCTGCTGGGCTCCAGCGATCCTTCCGCCTCAGCCTTCCAAGTAGCCGGAATTACAGGCGTGCGCTTCCACGCCCTGCTAATTTTTAAATTTATTTTAGAGATGAGGTCTCCCCTGCCCAGGCGGGTCTCGAACCCGCGGGCTCAGGCAATCCACTCACCTCAGCCTCCCAAAGCGCGGGATTACAGGCTGAGCCACCGAGCCCGGCTTTGTTTTTTTTTTTTTGAGTTGGAGTCTCACTCTGTCTCCCCGATTGGAGTGCAGTGGCCGCTCCTGGCCACCGCAGCCTCGCCTGCTGGGCTCCGGCGATCCTTCCGCCTCAGCCTTCTAAATAGCTGGAATTACAGGCATGCGCTACTACGCCTGGCTCATTTTTTGATTTATTGTAGAGATGGGGTCTCGCTGCCCAGGCGGGTCTTGAACCCGCGGGTTCAGGCAATCCACTCACCTCAGCCTCCCAAAGGCGCGGGATTACAGGCTGAGCCACCGAGCCCGGCTACATAGTCATCTTAAACTTTTGAATTTTGCATTTTAAAACTAGCTTCAGTAATAGAATTTCATCAATCTTAAGGCAAAAAAATTCACTTTTATTCTGTAAAGGAGTCTCTTTTTTTTGCAAATGCCTGTTTGAAAACAAGTCACTAGCTGGGTGCAGTGACTCACACCGATAATCCTAGCACTTTGTGAGGTGGAGGGGAGAGAATTACCTGAATTTAGGGGATGGAGACCAGCCTGAGCAACATGGTGAGACCTCATCTCTACAGTTAATAAAAAAGTTAGCCGGGCATGGGGCACATGCCTGTGATTCCAGCTTCTTGGAAGGCTGAGGTGGAAGGATTGTCTGAGCCCAGCAGGTCAAGGCTGTGGTGGCTGTGAGTATGCCACTGCACTCCATCCTGGACGACAGTGACACCCTGACTAAAGAAGAAGAAAAAAAAAAGAAAGGCACTACTGTTTTCTTATCAATTATAGCTTTTGAATATTCTATAACTGCCAGGAAGTTAGTATGGAAAATAACTAGTCCTCTTGTCTGCTAATTACACATCATTACATTGTTCTACCATCACAAAGAAAGAACATTTCTTGGCCAGTTTTATATACAAAATATTTAAAAATAGAGGGTAAAAATTGTAATTTTAGGCTGCAAAGACTTCTTGTAAAGGTATTTTTACATCTACTTTAGTGCTGCCCAGCAAAATTTTCGGCAGTGATGGAAATATTTTATGTCTGTCCCATATGATAGTCACTAACTACATGTGACTGTTGAGCACTTGAAATGTTGCTAGTGCAACTGAAGAACTGAATTTTAAACTACATTTAGTCTTCATTAATCACATTTAAACTGGCATGTATCACTAGTGGCTTATCATTGGGCAGTGTAGATCTAGGTAATTAGACGTCAGTACGAATCGATAATTTTTTAAAAACACCTAAAATGCAGCTAATGCCATTTATTTATATCTTAGTTTACTTTAACTTAAATAAATATATATCTGTTACTTTGAGGGGAAACTTTAGAAGAAAGTAAATTTTTCTAAATGGGCTGATTGTCACATTGTCACACTTATAAACTGGGAATTCCCTATGGCAAGATTACATCTTTGTAAAAAAAAATTCAAAGCGCAGTTTGAGTAGGAATTTTTGTTTGGGTCAGGCACAGTGGCTCATGCATGTAATCTCAGAACTTTGGGAGTCTGAGGTGGGAAGATCACTTGACACCAGGAGTTTGAGAGCAGCTTAGGTAACAAAAAATAAAACCTGTCTTTGAAAAAAATAAAAAATAATTTTTGTTTAAATCTGCATCTCCCAGAAGGGCACCAGTGGGTTTGGATTTGGGAGTAAATTTCCCAGGAAGTATTTTTATGAATGAGTGATTGTTTTTCTACTATGGCATATTTTTTATTTCCTTTAATACTCAGCATTGTATTGGTACTTACAATGTAATGTGCATACTGACCAAAGATCCTTGAAAAATAATTGAGATCGTAACACCATGAAAATACTCAGAAAACTGAAGCTCTTAGTTCTAGTAATAGTTGGCAGTTACTATATGCCAAGCTATTCAGAACCAACAATAAATGATATGTTGAAAACTGTCCAGTATCCAGCATCAAATTATAGGTAATATAAATCATGCAGTGACTGTACAAAAAGACCAAAATATTCAATTAGAAGCTGCATTACAAGGAAATTTAAATGTTATCCCATTCATTAAACATCTGAATGCATTTTTTAAAAGATTAATTTTAACAGGGTCTGTTATACATTATAATAAAGTAGCTCTACTAAATCAAAAAAATAGGCCATTTGGAAAAGGGGTTAGAAAGTACCTGAATTAAGTGGGATTGACTTTATTTTTATATATTTTCAAAGATCTTATGGGATGTTTTCTCTTTTCATGTATATTACTTTTCTGATTATATTTGAGTTTAACAATTACATTTTACTAAATTATAAAACTGTAACATCTTGATATTCTAAGAAGTTTTTTTTCCTTTTTCATTGACCTATTAAGCATATATTTTTAAAGGAAGCCATTTGTATTTCTTGCAAGCTATATTACATTCTTTTTTATTTTTCAGGTATGGATTTTCAAATATGCGCTATATTTCTTCTCTAATTAGTGGTGTTGGTATTTTCATGATGGGTGCAGGACTATCTTGGTACCATGGAGTCATGGGATTGCTTCATCCTCAGCCAATGGAATCTCTTCTATGGGTAATCCTTTTTTTTCTCCTCAGTTTTGAAGTAACATGACATAGTGGTTGAGTGCCATACAATGCCTTTGTCATATTGGAGTTTAAGGGGGGAATAACATGTACATTCTTGACTGTGTAATATGGGATTATCTGTCTATAGTTGTGTTTTTAGTACATGACTGGACTTAACCTCTAAATCCGTGTGATTCTGTGATGCTGAACGAGAGGATCTCTGTAGATACAGTGATTAAGCACTGCCTCCTTGATTAAAACCTTGGGCAGTTCCATTAATTTCTCTGGTTACTATTGCAGAAGAAAAAAACCTTTATTCACTTTTAGTCCCAAGAATAGTCTCATATCAGTAATTAAAATATCCAGGCCCATGGAATGGCCGTTAAGTTGGAGCTGCACTGAAAGTTGAAGCTTCTCCTTTCCCTCGTTCTGGGTTCCTTCAGGTAGGAAGCCTGCCCTGGGGACTGGGGGGAATGGTCACCTGTATTTTCTCCCAGAGCTTCTACCCTTCTTTCCTACCCCCGAGGCAATGTTGAAGGTTGGGAGAGAGAATAAGAAAGATTTTACTAACTAGTGTCATTTTGTACTTATTTCCTGTGATCTCTGTAGATGTTTAAAGATGTCTTTCTCTTCCATGGGCACTCCTTGGAGGTGTCCCTGCTTGGCTGCTCTGATTGTAGCTCTCCGAATTGGGACAGAGCACATCCTCTCAGCTTCTGCTTCTCAGGGTAGTTCCAGATGTGGCTCAAGTTGCCTTTGCATTTGGCAAGAGTGCCTTTCAGGCAGTTGATCTCTTTAGAAAAGACTCCTACTCAGTGTCTTCTTTATGCCGGGGTCCAAGTATTTAACACAGACATCCTAAAGACCCTTTCTGTGGGAGTGCAGATTCTTTCCCAAACAGCAGTATCTACTCTGCTGCCACAACCCATGTCCGTTAGTAGACATGCATGTGGACTTACTGCTCAGGTGTGTCAGACATAGTTGCTGGATGTCCACACCCCAGGGGATACACACCAAGCTCCTGAGTAATCTCAACAGCTTCACAGCTTTTACCAACGAACGCTTCACTTTGGCCTCCTCACCTTCAGCTCTCCTCACATGGTCTAGTGGGTGTGGAACTTGCATGTGGTCTGATTGGTGGGTGCCCCAGGCTTGGGCCGCCTTCTGTGCAAGGCCTGAATAGATAGCACAGCCTCATTTTGGAAGGTGGAGGTACTTATAACTTATTTTCTTCTCTGTGTTGGGCCATAGTCAGAATCAGTGTCATCTTGATACACCATACAAATCAGCATAGCAAGTCTGTTAAATTAGGCTTATTTACATTTGTTATGCACAAGCTTTCTGCAGTTTTTATCGACTAGTTTCTTACCCTAATACATTTCATATAATTAAAATAAACAAATGTATTTCCTCCATTCTGAAAAGGTTTGGCTACTTTATAGATACCTCATTGTCCTAGCATGTATCAAATTTGTACACCATCACTTTATAAAATCAAAGCAGTCTTGAGTTAGAGATTAAGTAATTAGTTAAATTTTCAATTGTGTATAAATTTTAAAGCTTGTAGAAGCTCTTGTGTCTTTTAGTAACTAAATGATTCCATTACACTATGGCCCTTTGGTAAATAAATAATAGATTCAACACACCGTAAACCAGTTTTTGTTTCTTAGGTATTGTTTTGGAATCCTTGGCTGATGGATGTGTCTGCTTTTATTGGGTGATGTGTGGCATAAATTCTTTCAGGAAGGAGATGGAAGGATTGAAAAGTGTTACTGGAAAGCTCAGCTACTATTTATGCTTCAGGTTGGCAGTTAGATTCAGTGGAAAGGGTCTAGGATTGAGACTGGAAAGCTTGCATTTTAGTTCTCACTGTGCTGTCATTGCTGTGTACTCAAGGCAAATCCACTTATCCTGGAAGATCTCAAATTCCTTCACGGAATTATAAGTGTTGAACTAGGTTTGAAATTTTCAAACCTCTATTCAGGAAAGCCTAGGGTTTCAAAAATTGTTGAAAATTCTGAAGATTTAGTTTGAATTTTATTAAAATGTTGAAAAAAATTGTATTGCTAGGTTAATTCTTTGTATACCTTGGGCCAAATCTTCGACATCTTTATGTAACTGAAGAATGTCCAGGGACTGCAAGGAACATGTGGTGCTACCAAAAAAAGGAATGGATACTGTTTATATATAACTAATCTTTCTGACTCAGGATACAATTGGTACTAGGCATCCAAACAAATCCAGAAAGTTACTTGAGTATGAGTGGTCTTACCGCCTCTGGTGTCTACAACCCAGAATTCAAATATTTTGCTCATATCTTGTCCTCATTTAAGTTGTTTCTTATTAATATCCTTAGATATAAATTTATGTTTCTGTATCAGATATTGCAAACTTCATGTGTGAATAATTGTATTGGAATAATTTATGCTTCATTTTAATATTTATTTTTCTAGGCATATTGTATTTTAGCAGGATCATTAGTGTCTGAAGGAGGTATGTACTGTCAGAAAGTAATTCATTATTCTTCATTTAGTAATATATATTCAGTGGTCCATTAGGGTAGTTGGCTAAGTTCTGTTGATTAAACAAAAGTATAGGAATGGGAATCTCAGCTTTATTTACTTTTAGGGAGTAAAGTCTTTGTACAATGTACTGCGGTTATTCCTGTCATGAATGGGAGTGAGGGGCAAGTATGTTTTGTTTTTGAGTATCATATCATAATGCTCACAACATTTGAAATGGCATGTAAAACATGTAACTCTACAGAATTTTAAAAATCAGTCATTAGTGGCATTAATCAGAAGAAGCCTGTCTCTTTTTGCGATATGAATATTTCAAAGATTTTGAAATATACAGCCATAGCAGTATTGTGACAAAAAACTGCTAATATCAGTATGAAGCTGCCTAATTTACTGCTGGTGCTCTTAAGTATGTTTACTTCTGAAACTCTGTCACTTTTTATCTACTGTGTTCCCTTCATCAGCTTTTTAAATTAATATTGTTTTTGATGGACAGATCATAATTGTATGTATTTATTGGGTCCCTTATCTTTAAAAGTTTGTGAAATGACGATAGCACCACCTGCCTCAAAAGGTTGGAGGGGATCAGAAGTGATAGTGCTTAGTATGGTACCTGCCAAATAGAAGCTGTTCAATTAAGGCTGTTGTTACAGTAATTATATTTAATTGTTGTGGGTTTAGAATTACTGGGTTTATCTTATTATAATGATTAATTGGAATCTTGATAATGACTTGTTAATATAGAACTTTTCCTTATTACCAACCCCAACGTCAAAATGTTATTTATTTTTTGAGATGCCATCTTTAAAGTTTGGAGGCATAAAGTTTCTTCCTTGCTGATATGAATGTTTTTCTTTTAGCAACACTTCTTGTTGCCGTAAATGAACTTCGTAGGAGTGCTCGGGCCAAAGGAATATCATTTTACAAGTATGGTATGTATTTTAGAAACCGGGTGTTTCTTTTGCCTCCTTTATTTGCTTAAAATTACCCAGGACTGTTGTTTCGTTCCTAATGGATGTGAACAAAATATATCTCAGTGTTGTCCCTATATGGCTCTTACATATACTTCAGCTCCTTTAAAAAGAGAAATGTAGTACAATTTGAACACGGATACTTTGTATTTGACTTAAGCAGAGCTGCCCTATTGCTATACATTCTTATTGTCATTTGAGAAAGTCATTTGACTTTATGTATCCGTTATTGTTGACATTTAAGCCAAGAAGAGATTGTGTTTGCATTGAACAGGGTTTTTAAAGTCATGATCTCATATACAGTTTAATCTTAATTCATATGTTGATTTTATATGAATACTTACTAAAATGTTACCTGATAGTGTCAAGATTTCAGAAATGTTCTTTTCTTGTCTCTCCTCCAATGACTAAGTGATGGAAAGTCGTGATCCTAGTACAAATGTTATATTATTGGAAGATACAGCAGCAGTCTTGGGAGTGATAATAGCAGCCACTTGCATGGGCCTTACTTCTATAACAGGTAAATATTCCTTAAATTATAGGTGGTTTATTTGTACTGCCTAAATAATACTCTGATTTGTGAAAATTTTCTCTCATATCATTGAATAGTATGAAACCGATACATTGTTTAATGTTAATTGCATATTTATTGATTTATATAAGACATTTGATCAAAAGTATCCAGGTTTATTTGAATCGTAAATTTCTCTGAATTAAAAGTAAGAAAGGCTGTTGTTAGAAGAGGGTTTCTTTAAGTTCTTCACCTATAAAAGTATGGATAATATTTGCCTTGGTAAGCCCATAGGTTTATTAAGATAATATGAGAACTTGAATAAACTCTAAAGTCCTAAATAAATATACAGCAAGTCCCCAAATAACTTCATTTTGTTCAACATGGTTTTGTTATAATGTTGATAAGAAAAACATCTGTTACCAACTGTGGCTACCATCTGTCTGGAGTTGGCATGTTCTCCCCATGCCAATGTGGGTTTTCTCCATGCCCTCCTGTTTCCTCCCACATCTCAGAGCTGTATATGATTGGCCTTGGCTGTCTAAGACTCTGCACTGGAATAAGCAAATTGCGAAGTGAATGAATGAATGAATGAATATATGAATACAGATTATTGTCAAGTAAATATTCATAAATTAGACAGTCGTATAAATGCAGAAATAACCGATGCGGTATAAAAGCACTAGTGAGCCCATCACATTTGTGATTGTTTATTTTTTAACTACATGGTGGTAAGAGGTGTTCCCTACAATTTTCACTTTGCAAGCATTTCATCCTTGATTTAACCCACTACTACTGCTGCGCTCACTGATTCACCAAAACTTGCGTAATTATCTTACTTAGTTTTTATTATTCTATACATATTCTTAGATGTATGTGTAGCTTACATTTGTTGTAGTGCTTAATATTATAAGTGTTTTGTATCTTTATATAGAAGTTTAGTGATATTTTTGTGACCAGAAATATGCCATAGGAACTTAACTCTTGTTTACATCAGTCTATGGTAAAATTGGTTTCACTTAAAGTCGCAGTTCCCAAGAACTTGTGGACAGCATTAAATAAGGGCTTCCTGTATATTGTGGCTCTTGTTCATTTGTCTTTTTCCACCCTTGGTGCCAGTTATAACTGCTGCTGCCTTCCTGTTTGAAATGGGTTCTGTCTTCATTTTGGTAGCTAGTTAAGTGTTTTGAGGGCCAGTACAATACTGGTAAATGAAAGGACAAAATCCATTTTATTTTTATCTTCTAAAACAAAAGAACCACTTAGTATGAAAAGACTCGATTTATAAAGTTGGGATTCTCTTGAAGTTGAACTTCTATTCTTCCCCATTTGTCTTCAAATGTTTAAAATAATTTTAGGTGACAAGCTTCCATAGTTCTGCGGTATTTCTTCAAATAGTCTGAAATATGACTAGCTCTTTCTCATTTCAGTGCACATTTTAAGACTAAACCATTCTCCAATGTTTAGTGTGATCTGAAATAAGTGCAAAAGTATTGATTGTTTTTGTGGTTGACCTTACATTACAGTTTTAGATGTCTTTTTGAACATAAATTATTAGCAAAATTGTAGGCTTAAGAAAAGTGTGACTTGATGTGTAAGTTAACTTTTAGTAATTTGTTTTCTTTTACTTAATAATAGAAACCAATCAAATTACTCTTTAAAAAATATGTACATTATATGGTTTACATGAATTAACTTTTAATTAGCTAAACCTATTTATTTATTTTTTAATTTTGAAGATGTGGGGTACAATTCAGGGTCAGGTATACAGATGTTCATTATGCAGGTACCCTTGTTGATGAGGTATGCCCCCCCCAGCAGTATTCCTCTACTGCCAATTTCACCCCCATCTCCCCTGGCAGTTTCCAACTACTGCCAATCCCTTACTTACAGTATTATGATAATTGTTCAAGGTCTGCTTATGAGTGAGAACATGTGGTACTCAGTTCTTTGTTTCTGTGATAGATCACTCAGTATTAGATTATATACTCGAAGATCACTCAGTATTATATTATATATTCGAAGTCCATCCAAGTTGCTGCAGAGTTCAAAATTTTGTCCTTCTTTATGGCTTCATAATATTCCATCGTGTATATGTACCACTTTTTTTATCCAGTCCTCTTTCGATGGGCAGCATGGTTGGTTGCATTAAAGCAATTTAAATGAGACTAAATAACATACCTAGAAATACACATTTTATAAAATTTCTTCTTCTAGCTAATATTCCTGTGATTTCTGTAGGATAATTTACACGAATGTATATTTTTAGATAAAAATAACTTCAAGCCAGGCTCGGTGGCTCAGCCTGTAATCCCGCACCTTTGGGAGGCTGAGGTGAGTGGATTGCCTGAGCCCGTGGGTTTGAGACCCGCCTGGGCAGACGAGACCTCATCTCTACAATAAATCAAAAAATTA